AGGGCCATGAGGACCTGCATTTCTACTCTTCTGGACCAAAAACTGGTGGAAGAAGTTCCAAGAAAGGAACGATTCCTTGGTGTTTACTCCACAGTGTGCTTGGCCCCAAAACCCCAAGGAAAGTGGCGTCTCATCCTAAACTTGAAGGGTGTAAACTCCATGCTCAAATGGAATCTTTACGGTCCATCTTGAGGAGTGTCAAAAAAGAAGACTGGATGACCTCCATAGACTTGAGGGACGCCTACTACCAAATCCCTGTAAACCAAGATCATATGAAGTTTCTCAGGTTCTGGGTGCTAGGAAGGCACTTTCAGTTCCGGGGTCTACCGTTTGGCCTTAGCTTGGCGCCAAGAATGTTCTCAAAAGTTCTTGTCACTTTAATAGCCTTCATAAGGGAGAAAGGTATCGAGATCTTCCATTACTTGGTCGACATCCTTATCATGGAAGAATCATGGTCCATCTCACAGGATAGTAGCTCATCACACGTTGGTGGCAGTGAATATTGGAGGACCAGTCTGAATGAGGAGAAAAGCTCCCTGATTCCTTCTCAGATGATCGTATTCCTCGGAGCAGTGATAAACACTATCTGCCCATGTGTTCCTGTCTCCGGAAAGGGTCACAAAAATCAGAGACAAAGTAGGGGAGCTACAAAGTCTCTAGACTGCCTCTGCAAGAGAAGTTATGAGTCTCCTGGGTTCTTTGACATCAACTATAGGGTTGGTAAGTGGAAGCTTCGGCTGGTCCAGAATTGCTTCCTTCTCCAGTTCGACAGAGTGGGAAAAGATTGGGAGCAAAGGATCTCTTTACCCCTGCCCGTGAGGAAAGGATTGACCTGGTGGAAGAACAAGAAGAATTTGGAAGGTTATTACAACAGATGCCAGTTCTTTTGGTTGTGGTGCCCACTTCGATACCGCATGGACTCAAGGGAAGTGGACCCGAGAGGAGAGTCAGCTACACTCAAATCTAAGAGAACTGAGAGCTGTTACCAAGGCCATCATGGTGTTCCTACCGCGGATCTTAAATTCTTGGGTGCTAATCAAAACAGACAACCGAGCGGTGGCTTCATATGTGAACAACCAAGGTGGCACAAGAAGCAGATTGCTCTTGAAGGAGCTGGCTCCCTTGATGACAATCACCATGACCAATCTACAGGGTCTGAAGGTGATCTAATATTCCAGGTTCAGAGAATGTGACTGCAGACTTTCTCAGCAGAAAGGAAATTCTTCCAGGAGAATGGAAACTTCACCTGGCAGTCTTTACATGGATTGCCCGTCGGTGGGGCATGCCCCAGATCGACCTGATGGCATCCTCCCGGAATCATCAGGTGGAGAATTACTTCTCTCTCCACCCGGACAGTCAGGCAATGGGCCAGGATGCTCTCTCTCTTCCTTGGTCATTCGGTCTGGGGTATGCGTTCCCTCCCCTACCCATGATACCCAGGTTCCTGCGGAAGGTTTGGTCGCAAGGAATGAAGGTGATTGCCATAATTCCGATTTGGCCTCGGAGGCCGTGGTTCCCCCTATTATCTGTGATGAGCCAAGAACAGCCTTGGCCTCTTCCTGTTATGAAGGATTTACTAACGCAGGGCCCGATATTCCATCCTCATTCGGAACGCCTCAAATTGGGGTATGGGTCTTGAAAAAGAAAGACTTCAACTACTAGGTCTCTCAGAAGCAGTGGTCAATACTCTTTTGCAATCAAGGAAAGCCTATACTTCCTCATGCTACCATAGGATCTGGGATGTGTTCCGGGAATGGGCTTCGGCCAAGAATGTTGACTTCCTGCATCCTCACAATACAGAGATCTTGGAGTTCCTGCAAGAGGGTCTGGATATGGGCCTTAGCCTCAGCACTCTCAAGGTTCAGTCTTCGGCGCTTTCGGCTTTGTGCAACATATCCTTTGATCTCCAGGTTTTTCAAGGCGGCTTTCAGGTTGAGACCTCCTTCCAGATCTACTACCCCTCCTTGGGACCTTCCTCTGGTGCTCAATTACCTAACAGAGGATCTGTTCGTTCCTCTTGAGGGTTTGGATGCTACCCTCCTGACGTATAAAACTTTGTTTTTGGTGCAAATTACTTCCGCAAGAAGGATTTCGGAGATTAAAGCATTTTCTACCTTATCTTTTTGTCTACAATTATATCATGATAGGGTGTGTCTGAAGCCAAAACCTGAGTTTCTTCCTAAAGTGGTCTCTCAGTGGTCTCTTCCATTGTTCTACCCCAATCCTTCTTCGCAAGAGGAGGTTAGATGGCAACGTTTGGATGTCATGAACTGCCTGTCTGTGTACCTTAAGTGTTCTGAGTCTTTCCGGAAAACTGACCAACTCTTTGTTTTGCTGTCGGGAGCCAGGAAAGGTGAAGTGGCTTCTTTATCTACATTGAAACGTTGGATTTCACTGGTAATCAGGAAAGCATATATCTCGAAAGGTCGATCTCCTCCAATGAAGATAAGAACTCACTCTACTAGGGCTTTGTCGACTTCATGGGCTAATTGGGCAGAGGTTCCATACGATGATATTTGCAGGGAAGCCACCTGGTCTTCCCCGATGACATTCTTGAAACACTACAAACTGCATGTGGACTCTCCTTCCACCTCCTTTGGGAAGAGTGTCCTGTCTACTGTTTCTTTATCCCACTGATATTAAATTTCTTTGCAGCATAAGAGTCTGTTTCTCAGTTTATTGTTCCCACCCTATAATTCCGTGAGCTTGGGTATTACCCATAAGTAATGCTGCCATGATTAGCCAGGAATAGAGAAAATTTATAACAAACTTACCGTAATTTTCTTTTCCTGGCTATTTCTCATTACTAAGAAGTAAGCAGAATTATATCTGTATTTCTGCCAGAAAGAACACTGCTTGAAGGCTTAAATCTGACACTGTGTACAAGAAAAACAAGTAACAGTATGGTGCTGAAAATATAATACTACAAATAAATACAAATATATTTGAAAGAAAACAGCACTATATATTGTGAAAAAGCTCAAATCACATACATCAACATAAATAAAAAAAGAAATAAATACTTTGTAATAAAAGCGTCATTTTATATAGAACAACTGATGTGATTATACGCTTATACCCAAAGTGCCTGTGTGCTCTGTGCAAAAACACACTGATATGTGTATTATTGTGCAAAAATTCTGAATATGATAAAAACACAATAGTGATAAAAACACCTTACTCTAATTTTACTATATATTGTGAAAAAGCTCCAATCACATACATCAACATAAACCAAACGGCATTGTTTGCCTTCACTACAGCTTAAAGTCTCCATATTTGCAAATGATGCCATCACAGTTCAGAGCAGACTATACGGCTCTAATTCTGTGAGTGTTTCAGTCTATTTTACCTATTGCTTTTATTCATACATATTGCCCTATGTGCTTGTCATTTTTGTCTGTTTGAGATATCATATCGGAACCTTGAAACAAGCAGTTAGTGAAATTAGAGTAAGGTGTTTTTATCACTATTGTGGTTTTATCATATTCATAACTTTTACACACACATATCAGTGTGTTTTTGCACAGTGCACACAGGTACTTTGGGTATAAGCATATTATTACACCAGTTTTATGTAAAATTACACTTTTATTACAAGGTATTTATTTATGGTCTTAAAGACACAGCACACTTTATTTTATTTGGTTTATGTTAAATCTGACACTGACTACTTAAAATCCAGGCCAAGATTTTAAAAGTCGTAAATATTTGCCCGCAAGCAGCATAAAGTTTAACTATGTGTTGGTTGACTAGCACTTACTAACCAGCATCCACATTACAAAGTTTAAAAAAACAGAATTAAAAAAATTCCAATGAAAGAAAGAAAAAAAAAAACGAGAAAAATGTAAAAAAAAAACTGCTTTTATTAAGAGTTTTAAAAAAAGTGTATGTGCCTCTTAAGTGAGTAACTTTTAGCTCCACTATTAGAACTTTATCAAAACTTGACAAAGCATTCATAGAGGAGCCAAAATGTTGTCACTTGCCTGATCCATGTAAAGACAGTTTTAGCCATGATTTGTATGCCTGGACTCTCTTTGGAAGTTGCCTATTATTGGTACTGCAGTTACACCTGTTCCTGAAAGCACCAATTGTGGATTATGGTGGGTATGCAGTGGTCAGTACCTACCAGAAGTGGTGCAAGGAATTACAATCAAGTACCAATGTCACGGTTATGGATGCCTAAGGCTCATTGATGAACAAGGGGAGCGAAGACTAGCCTGTCTGGCCCGATCACAAGAGCTACTGTAGCTTAAATTTCTGAAAAACCTAATGCTGGCCATAATAGAAATGTGTCAGAACACACTGTGCATGGTAGTTTGCTATAAATGGGTCTGAATACCCGAGGACCAGGCAGAGTGCATGATGACCCCAATCCACCACCGAAAGCACCTTCAATGTGGACGTGAGAGTCAGAACTGGACATGGAGCAATGAAATAAGTTTGCCTGGTTTGATGAATTATATTTTCTTTAAGATGAAGGAGTCCTTGGGTCTTAGCATTCATGTGGATGTTACTTTGACATGTACCACCCACCTAGAAGATGTTGCAGTTCTTCATGATAATGCTGTTCCCTGGTGGCATTGGTCTGAGCAGGATAACGCACCCTGCCACACTGCAAAAATTGTTCAGGAATGGCTTGATGGACATAACAAAGAGTTCTCCAGATCTCAATCTGATTGAGCATCTGTGGGATGTGCTGGAACAACAAATCCGACCCATGGAGGTCCCACCTCACAACTTGCAAGATCTGCTACTAATGTTTTTGTTCCATAAACCACAGGACATGTTTAGAGGTCTTATGGAGTTTATCCCTCAACACATCAGAGCTGTTTTGGAGGGGGGCCTACATGATATTAGGCAGGTGTCTCTAATGTTTTTGCTGATCAGTATAACTTGGTGCTATAAAAATGCCAATAATACTACTATTTCTACTTCTAATAATAGTTATGTAAATGTGTTTTTAATAAAAAGATCAATGACAAAGCACATTTTTACAACTGCATAACATATTTAGTGTGTCATTTATCTTTAATTGTATCATCAAAACAAATTGAATACAGTGATCTGTGGTGTTACTTGTATTGAATGTGCTTTCTAACATCCCAAAATGTTGATATGTATTTACTCAATTAAGGTACTTATTTTATTACATATTAAGTGCAAGTTAAACCAGTGGTTACAAAACCAGTCATGAAGGCACCCCTACCAGTCCAGGATTTAGGGATGACTTAGTTTTAGAAAAAATACCTTAGCTACAACTGGGTAATCCCTAAATCCTGGAATGGTCGGGATGTCTTGAGGACTGGTTTGAAAACTGAATAGTTATATTGTTATTAACATTTTTATACATTGGCAATATGATATAAACTTTACACTTTATATATTTTGTTTTCTATTTCCTAGCTTATCTTAGACAAATACAGTTGAATGCAAACTTCTAGGTACCCAAAACAAATAACATTTTGCTGATTTTCTAACTTAAAAAAAAACATAAACACAACATCTGCAGTAAACAAACATAATCTTGAAAGATCTTTGCAAATTGTAATTGCCAAATCAATATATATTTTTTTAATATTGATATAATGCTTTGTTTTTAAGAAATATGTTACTATTTACTATACAACTATTCTAAGTAGTACATTTCATGTGTTACAAACATACAACTCTTCAGCTTAAAGGGACACTATAGTCACCAGAACAACTACAGCTTATTGAATTTGTTCTGGTGAGTAGAATCAGAGAAAATGCATTGTTTACATTACAGCCTAGTGATAACTTCACTGGCCACTCCTCAGATGGCTGTTAGAGATGCTTCCTGGGTCATGGCTGCCTAAAATGCATCCAAACATTCAGTGTCTCCTCCCTCTGCATGCAGACACTGAACTTTCCTCATAGAGATTCATTGATTCAATTAATCTTTATGAGGAGATGCTGATTGGCCAGGGCTGTGTTTAAATCATGCTGGCTCTGCCCCTGATCTACCTCCTTGTCAGTCTCAGCCAATCCTATGGGGAAGCATTGTGATTGGATCAGGCTACCACTTCTGATGATGTCAGCAGACTGCTTTTTTTTTTTTTTTTTTGAGGCAAACAGCATGCAGATCTACAGCTTATGGCTTGAATACAGTAAGAATTTGCTATATTTATGGAGGCATGAGGGGCCCAGGCTGGCTAGATGGTGGTGTTAACACTATAGGTTCAGGAATACATGTTTGTGTTCCTGATCCTATAGTGATCCTTTAATTTCCAAATCTAGCTGATGGCAAAGAATGGGTAGATGACAAACAATTCGACTTCTCTTGACTAAACCGATTCTGATGGATATCACATCTCAAGCCAAAATTCCATGGATGGCTCAACACCTTTATCAAAGCCCCTTCTAGACAATAGTAGATGAGGCTCAGATGCTCTCTTTCCTAAATGACAACAAGCAGGATTGTAACAAACAGAATAAGGTTTCAAGAACACACATGTTCTGCCCTAAAGGGGTCACAGAGGAAGTTAGGACATGTCATGCTGTGGACAATATTGAAACCTACAGGAAACTGGTGCATATCTTGGATTCCTCCTACACAAAAGTAACTGGATACAAAAACAGGATTTGATTGGTTGAGACTATCTTCATTATGTGGCAGTGTATCTAAATATGTGTTCTATAGAAAGCAGTTTGCTAAGAGAAGACAATATCAAGATAACAGGGACAACACCATTCTTACTTTACACACATACAGCCAATAGAATAGTGTAGATAAATATAGACTTCTATGCCAGATGCTTCTCCTTTACTCACATAACTGTATTTGTTATTTTATTAAACATATCATCTTTAAGTCTCTGGTATAAGTGGATTTTTTACAAACAGGAACGGTTAATTTTCAAAGAAAGGCCGGAAAGGATATACTCACAAATCCTGGTATTTAGGAGCTCTTTTTACACCAAGTTTGTATTTATTTCTGCCAAATATTTAACCCCTTAAGGACTGAGCCAAATGTACACGTTGTGATCAAAACCAAACGTAAACAAAAACTTGAAATTGCGCTATATGTCTGTTCAACCGTAATTAACCTCTTTCATATTATGTGCACCCACCCTTATTATATATAATTTTATTCAGGGGAAACAGGGCTTTCATTTAACATCAAATATTTAGGTATGAAAGATAATTTAATATGAATAAAATATAAAAAAAATTGGAGAAAATAAGAATTAAAATTTTTTTTTAGTTCTACGTGACATTCTAACTGTGAATGTCATAATACTGTTTGCTTTTACTGCAATATAATACACATATTTGTATTCAGCGATGTCTCACGTGTAAAACATGTACAGGTTTTATGGTGTTGTGGGAAGTTACATGGTCAATTATAGCATGTAACATTTTTCAGTTTTTTCACATTGAAATTCGCCAGATTGGCTACGTTGCCTTTGAGACCATATGGTAGCCCAGGAATGAGAATTACCCCCATGATGGCATACTATTTGCAAAAGTAGACAACCCATGGTATTGCAAATGGGGTATGTCCAGTCTTTTTTAGTAGCCACTTGGTCACAAACACTGGCCAAAGTTAGTGTTCATATTTGTTTGTGTGTGAAAAATGAAAAAAAAAACAATTTGAACTCCAATTATGGCCAGTGTTTGTGACTAAGTGGCTACTAAAAAAGACTGAACATACCCCATATGCAATACCCTGGGTTGTCTACTTTTGCAAATGGTATGCCATCATGGGGGTAATTCTCATTCCTGGGCTATCATACAGTCTCAAAGGCAACATAACCAATCTGGCGAATTTCAATGTGAAAAAACTGAAACACAAGCCTTTTATTTGACTCTGTAACGTTTGAAAACACCATAAAACCTGTACATGAAGGGTACTGTTATACTCAAGAGACTTCACTGAAAACAAATATTAGTGTTTCAAAACCGTAAAACATATCACAGCAATGATATCGTCCGTGTAAGTGCTGTTTGTGTGTGAAAAATGCAAAAAACTTCACTTTTACTGGCGATATCATCATTGTAATACATTTTACTGTTTTGAAACACTAATATTTGTGTTCAGCAAAGTCTTCTGAGTAAAACAGTACCCCCCATGTTTTATGGTGTCTTGGGAAGTTACAGGGTTAAATATAGTGCTAGCAAATTAAATTCCCTTTACTTTCGGCCTGGGTTGTCAGGCAGGTCCGGCAAATTGTAATTAATAAAATGACCTAATTATGTTAAATTATATTATATATATATATACGTAGAATTATTATTATTTATATATATGTAAATATATATATATTGACATATACGTATATACTTATGCATATAGATATATATATTATTTTGTTCTACATGTATTTCGATATCAATATATATTAATTTAAAAATACAGTTAGAACGAAATTACACATATATTTATTTATTTAGTATTTTTTTTACGTATTTTCATATTTATTTATTTTATATTATATATAAATATATGTATATGTGTGTATATGATAATTATATATATAATCAATATCCTTTTACGTGTATTTTGATAATATATGGATATAATTATATATATATTAATATTAAAATACACTTAGACAGTCTATGTGTATTTATGTATATGTGTATATATATATATATATATATATATATATAGTTAGATCATATATATAATAAATAAATATATATGATCTAAGTATATATAATTTAATTTGACACTGTTTTAAACACTTTAAATTTTTTTTTTCAGGCAGCAGGAGGGAGTACCTGTCATTACATGCACTCCCCCTGCTGGCATTGACATGGATGGCTTTTCCGTCTATGTGATCGCAAGGTCCTCGCAAGAACCTCACGATCACATGGTCCAAGGAAGCCAAAGACAAAGGAGGGGGACTCCCTAGGCTCCCAGGTAAAGTCCCCAGACCGCGATCGGGTAAGTACATAGGACGGCGGGGACATGCTATGCCGCCCTCCGGCATTTAGAGCCAGGTCCCTAAGGATGGTATAGCACGCCCACCATCCTTAAGAGATTAAAGGAGTTTTCCATCTGACATTTTAGAATACTTACAGAATTTTAACACATTTCCATAAAAACACCAATGATCCAATTAAAGTAGTATGTTTGTGTTCTTTTTTGTTTTGTTTGGGTTAATTCCCACATCTTGATATTCAGGTGTTTCTTTAATGTCTATAAGATTGGTTGTGTTTTTTACAATTCCTTTGAAGAATGCAAGTTCATAAACAACCCGTTCCCAATTATCGGTCAATGAAAATTCTAGAGGTCTGCAACTAGTTTCTCTAACACTGAAAGAATCTTCATTTTCCTGTGGTCCTTGGTAATCATAAACACTGCTTTGAGAAATTGAGCACCCTGAAGTGTCATTCACAGCCAACACCCTAAAGAAAGGTACAAATTAGTATGATTAGTTTTTAGTAATTTTTAAGTTGTTTATAAGCCAGTAAATAACTAAAATGCTATCTGACAGACTGCAAATGATCTAAGAAAAGGAGGCAAATAACATTGCAAGGTATACTTTTATACCCCTTTCCTCATGTTAGGTGAAAAGTTAAATTTTTAGTTCTCCAAATATATACATATATTTTTTAACAACATACAGCGAAGGTTTTTTTTAACATAAATGTGAAGAAATCCCTCTTTTGTACAATATTTCTCACCTATTTCATTCCGTAGATTTAACTACCGAACAAAGACCACCCCCTGGCTCATTAAACTTCAAAGACTGCTTCAATTGAACCCTCTATCTGTGCGACCAGCGTTCGTACTACCAAACGCCACGTGGCTGAGAAAACCGCGGCCATCTTTTTTCATGCGAACAAAGGCAGCGGGACTTGGTCGTCGAGTGTCTGGAATTAAAATTGGACACTTCCCGAACACCGGTCTCAAACAGACAAACGCTGGAACTCTACTTACCGAATAGCTAGAAGAGCGCTATTCGGTACTTTGGTGCATTCGACAGAGGGGAACAATCGTTGCTGAGAGCCAGGGGGATCCATTCTGTACTTTATTCACTTTTTCCCTTTCACTAAAGTGACCGGCAAAACCCATCAAACTCATGGAACTGTTTTGGGCAGCCAGCCCACGGTCAGCCGGTCACAGAAGACTTCCACAGTTTTTGAGAACCCCTTAACCAATCTGGATGAAATTTGAATATGTTGGTCACCCAGATCGGGGCTATCAGGGGACATATTATTTGTGGGGATACCTCAAGTATAAAGGGGTGTTTCAGATATTGGGGAAAAATTAGATTTTTCTGCCTGGAGATAATCAAGTTATTACTTTATCAGACTTGATTATCTCCAGGGCTAGGGGAGGGAATTGTGGGTGTGTGTTATGTTTTTACGGGACCTGATTGGTTAATTTTCGTCCCTCCCTGGGGGATGTCCCCTTGCATGGGGACTTGCATAAAAGCCTGTGTGCACTCATTAAAAGTTAGTTCAGTTGTACCCTTTTTCTTGACTTCGGCTGATGTTTGGGGATTCGTGTGTTTCACTAAGGGAATTATCTTATGAAACTACTGGGATTACTATACGATTTGTCTACTTTATCTACTGAACGGAGAGCTATAATCACTGATGCTCTAGCGGTTCGGGAGGAAACTACCGAATGAGGTTTAAATATTTGGTTTCCGTACAGTAAAGATATTTACATAATCCTATATTTACCAAATATGCACATAGAGGTGTAAAAAATATAATTAAACATACAAATGCAGACCTCTTTATCTTGCAACTAGGTCCCACCCAGTGGCGCACATACCGGGGTCATGGCTGCGACCAGGCCCGGCCACCCTACGACCCGGTATGTACGCCAGTGTGGCCAGCCTCTTCTCCTGGGGGCCCAGGAGCTGGCCACCTAAGGGCCTCCCGAGGCTGGCCCTGGTGTCTCCAGGTTGGTGGGCGTGAGAGGGAGCACTCTCCCCTGAGCTCTCTCTGCCCAGCTCCCTCGCTCACCGCACTGATGCCAGAGCCGGAATATGACGTCATATTCTGGCTCCGGCATCAGTAAGCGGCACGCGAGGGAGCTGGGCAGAAAGCGCTCAGGGGAGAGTGCTCCCTCGCGCGCCCGACAGCCAGCCAGCTAGCCCAGTGACCGGCCGCCCAGCAGCACCACTGAACCCCAGGGAATCCCCTCAGCTCTCCCAAAGGTAAGGAGGCTGGGGGATTAAATTTTAAAGAAACATGTGTGTGTGTGTGTGTGTGTGTTAGTGTTAGAGTGTGTGTTAGTTTTTGTGTCAGTGTGTGTGTTACTGTGTGTGTGTGTCTGCTAGTGAGTGTCAGTGTGTGTGTGTGTCAGTGAGTGTGTTACTGTTTGTGTCTGTTACTGAGTGTGTTAGTTTGTGTGTGTCTGTTATTGAGTGTGTGTCTGCTAGTGAGTGTCAGTGTGTATGTTAGTTTGTGTGTCAATGAGTGTGTTTGTGTCAGTGAGTGTGTTACTGTGTGTGTCTGTTACTGAGTGTGTTATTTTGTGTATGTCTATTAGTGAGTGTGTTTGATGTCTGTTAGTGAGTGTGTGTTTGTCAGTGAGAGTGTATGCTTTGTAAGTGAGTGTGTATGTATGTATGTCGCCGAGTGTGTCTCTGTCAGTAAATTTGTGTCTGTTAGCTAGTGTGTATGCGTCTGTTCGTGAGAGTGTGTGTGTGTTTAAAACCCCTTCAGCACTTACCTTTCTCCAGCGCCGGACTTCCATAGCGCTGGGGATCCCTCCGCCGATCCGCCTCTCAGCTCCGAATGTGCATGCGCGGCAAGAGCCACGCGCGCATTCAAACCGCCCATGGGAAAGCATTACTCAATGCTTTCCTATGGACATCCATCATCTTCTCACTGATTTTCACAGTGAGAATCGCTGAAGCGCCTCTAGCGGCTGTCAGTGAGACAGCCACCAGAGGCTGGATTAACCCTCAGTGATACATAGCAATTTCTCTGAAACTGCTATGTTTTCAGCTGCAGGGTTAAAATTAGAGGGACCTGGCACCCAGACCACTTCATTGAGCTGATGTGATCTGGGTTTCTGTTGTGGTCCTTTAAGTGTGTGTGTATCTGCATGCACTGGCGTACATACCGCTGTTGCAGGGGTCGCAGCCCTGCGACCCCTGCGACCAGGTGCCTGCCGCCATGTGTTCCGGCCTGTGCAGAGTAAGCGTGGGGGGGGGGGCATGGATCAATTTTCACACCGGGGCCCCATGGGTCGTATGTACGCCACTGGTCCCACCATCTTAGCTCCCTGTTAATCATTCTAATATGCTTTGTCCTTTCCATCTGTCAGTCCGCTTAGAGAAAGCACATAGAGAAGAGGAGAAATGAGACAGTATTATTATATCCCTCCTCTTCATTTGGAAAGCGATTGTTCCTCTTTGTCAGAGAAGCAAATACATCAGTCATGGATCCATTTTGTCTTATTGTGTCTCATCGAGTATAAAGTATCACCGGCATTCCCCCCAATAAAATCACACCTTTTAGCACTACGGGAGTGTTGTCTATGCTCCTTTATAAATATTGTCTACAGAGTTGCACTATCTGTTTACACAAAGAACATCCTGGATAGAGAAGTGGCTGCACGAGGCAGATAATTTGTTACAGGGTAAAAAGATGACATAAAATATATTATAAATTGATTTTCTCACCCCTCCTGGGTGGTATGTTTATTCCTCATTCTCAGGTACTCTACCAGAGGTCTGGGAGTTTGAGGGTTCTACACAGTATCTTAGCTGTTCCTAGAACTGCACTATTCTGGACAGTGATCTCAGATATCCCATCTGGAATCTGTTGAAACCACTCCCCCAACTTGGGAGTCACAACCCAGAGTGCTCCTATCACAACTGGGACTACTACTGCCTTCATTTTTCACATCCTTTCTAGTTCTTTTTTCAGTTGGTTGTGTCTCTCCATGTATGCTGTTCCTGCTAACATCTTGCTTCTGGCTACTAGGTGCTGGACTGTCTCAGAGGCCTCTATGCACAATCTGCACCTTGGGTCTTGCCTGGTGTGGTAGACTCCAGCTTCTATTGATCTGGTGCTGAGTGCCTGTTCCTGTGCTGCTGGGATTAGTGCCTCAGTGCTGTCTTTCAGTCCTGCCTTTTCCAACCACTGGTAGGTTTTTTTCATGTGAGCCAACATCCACTATGTGCCGGTGACACACCCCATGGAGAGGTTTGTCTTGCCAAGGAAACTCCTCTTTTTCTGCATCTTCTATCTGTTGAAGTTTCAAGCATTCCTTTACCAGTTCATCTGTGG